AAAAAGGGATATATACTTTGCTGATGGGAATGTAAGGTGATATAGCCCCTCTGGAAACAGTTTGACAGTTTCTTAAAAACACTAAATATGCAACTACCGTATGTAACCCAGTAATTGCATTCTTGGGCATTTATTCTAGAGAATTAAAGATCTGTGTTCACACAAAAACCTGTACATGAATGTTTATAGCAGCTTTATTCATAATAGCCCATAACTGGAAATGATACACATGTTTGTCAGTGGCTGAGTGGTTAAAGAAACTGGTTCATTCATACCATGGAATACTACTCAGCAATAAAAAGGAATGAACTATTGATGTACACAACAACCTGAATGGATCTCTAGAGAATTGTGCTGAGTGAAAAAGCCAATCCTTATTGATTACATACTATATGATTCCATTATTATAATGTTCTTTAAATGATAAAATTATAAACATGAAGAACAGATTAGTAGTTCCCAGGGGTTGAGGAGACAGGGGTGGGAGGGAAGTGATTGGCTATAAAAAGGCAGCATGAAGAAGCATTTTGGAAATGTTCTCTATCTTGATTGTATCAAAGTCTATATCCTTGTGATATTGCACAATAGTTTTGCAAGATGTTGTCATTAGTGGGGGGAAACTGGGTAAAGGTTACACAGGATCTCTGTATCATTTCATACAATTGCATACAATGATCTCAAAATAAAGTTTATTTTTAAAAAATTATTTAAGGAAAACAGGTCTAAAGGGATCAGAGTCAGAAGAATCATAAATACTAATAAGGTAGCACTTTTATATTGGGTGGTGTTCTGAGGTCCTGGTCCAGTTATGTTCTGAAATGGAGCCATATGGGTCCATGAGAATTCCTGTATGAAGGTGTATGATTGACTTTCCACCCTCAAGTTCTAATTTGGGATGCTATTCACTGTATGCCCTTTGAGTGCCTTTTGCCTCTGATTTTCTGTTAGACTAGTTTCTTAGTTTCAGGTCCAAAGTCATTACAAAATGCTATTAACTTTTATGATATTGTTTCTGCAGTGGGTCCTTACCTAAGAGTCAGAGTATCTGGATACTGACTTATTTTTCCCAAGCGATTTTTCTATTTGCCTATGTGATAGACATTTATAGTTGTCCCTCGATATTTATCCCCTTCTTCTCTTTTGCAGTAGAAACTCCAGTTTTGAGCAGGGCTTATGGCTTCACAGAGTCAAGGTTGCATTGCTCAGAATTCATTGTAGCTAAGTGTGGCTATGTGACCAACTACAAACCACCTATTTTGGTTAAGCCACAAATGAAATGGAACTATCAATTTGCTTTAACAAACACTTAATGAACAGGTAATATAAAATACTTTATATAAATGTAGTGTGTTATGGGTTAAATTGTGTGTACCCCAAAAGATATTGAAGTCCTAATCCCCAGTACCTTAGAATGTGACCTTATTTAGAAATGGGGTATTTTCTGTTGTAATCAGGTTAAAATGAGATCATGATGGAGTAGAATGAGCCCCTAATCCAATATTACTGGTGTCCTTATAAGAAGGTGGTCATTTGAAGACACAGACACACAGGGATAATGCTATGTGAAGATGAAGATTAGAGTGATGCATTTACAAGCCAAGGAACTCCTAGGGGCTACAGGAAGTTGGGAGAGAGTCATGGAACAGATTTTCCCTTAGAGCCCTTGGAAGGAACCAAACCTATTACCTTGATTTTGAACTTCTAGCCTCCAGAACTCTGAGACAATACATTTCTGTGTTTAAGGCACCCACTTGGTGCTACTTTGTCACAGCAGCCTTAGGTAAACCAGAAAAACACTGTGTTTTAAATCTTCTTTTTGAGGTATTTTCAAAAATGGGTTGGGCATGACAGGGTTGAATTTGAGTCCTGAGACACTTGGACTAAATATGCTCCCCCCCCCCCCCCGGAAAATATCACTGTACCAAACATAGATATTCCTCATTGTGCAAAGTTCTTCCAACTTCCTTACGTTTTTATTGCTGATTTGATGTGCTTGAATGCCAGCCAAAGTATAAGGTACATGGTACTTGGGAGGACTGGGTGGTTTCCATGGAGACTTCTTGCAGTTCAACAGTTGTCAGGGAAACATCTCGTTTCAATTTGTGGGATCTGCCAATTTGTGTGGCTCTTGGAAGAGGATATGCTTAAACCTCTCCAAGATACTAGTAATAAATTCAGAGTAGAGCTTTTTAGTTTGCTTTAAAATTATAGTAGGCTTTTCTGTAACATAGGGATATTAACTAGTCCTCTGCCTGAAGTGATAAAACTACCAATTTGCTCATATGCAAAAAATGTTGATTTTGAGCTTTGGGGAGTAAAACTGAGGTTCAAAGAAAACCCAAAGCTAGAGAGCTGGTGTCAGATGCCACACAACTCTAGTCCATGATCTTTAGCATGCCCTATATAGTATGAGAAATTGAAGAAGCCTGCTGCAATATTGCGATTTATAAAAAAAAACTAGAGGCCTGGTGCACCATGCACTGGTGGGGTCCCTCAGCCTGGCCTGCGCCCTCACGCAATCCTGGACCCCTCACGCAATCCTGGACCCCTCGGGAGATGTCAGAGGCCCAGTGCATGGATTCGGCCTGATCCTCGCCGGCCAGGCTGAGGGACCCCACCAGTATCCATGCACCAGGCCTCTAGCATGCATATAAGATCTTTGGTTAAATCTCTTCCCGCCCTCCCCCCACCCCCTTCCCTCTGATATTCATCAGTCTGTTCCATGTTTCCATGCCTGCGTGTTGAGCGTCTGCCCCCTGGTGGTCAGTGACCATCATAGCTTCTGGTCGAATGGTTGCTTAGGCTTTTATATATTTAGATTGGACATTCAAATGCATATGTATCTCACACATATTTGGTGTTCATCCATGGCTCACAGCTCCAAAATCCTTGGAATTTCCTAAGTGTTGAGAGTAATAAAGTTGTCTTTTGTTATATAAATGAGGTGACTTTTGGAAAGCACCTAAGGATGGAGGCTGACTGCCAGTGGAGCCAAACATTGAAAGTTTTAGTCCCACCTCTACCTCTAGGGAGGGGAGAGGAACTGGGGATGGAGTTCAATCATCAGTAGTAAATGAATTAGTCAATGTGTAATGAAGTCTCCATTGAAAAAACAAAAGGACTGGGTTTGGAGAGCTTTTGGGTTGGTGAACACGTGGAGGTGCTGGGAGAGTGGTGCAATAGGCATAGAAGCTCCATGTCATTTTTCCACACCTTACCCTATATATCTCTTCCACCTGGCTGTTCCTGAGTTATAGCCTTTTATAATAAAACTAGAGGCTTGGTGCATGAAATTTGTGCACTGGGGGGTGGGGGTCCCTCAGCCCAGCCTGCCCCCTCTCACAGTCCGGGAGCCCTTAGGGGATGTCCTACTGATGGCTTAGGCCCGCTCCCCATGGAGGCTTGGAGCAGGTGCCGTGTGTGTGTGTGTGTGTGTGTCCCCGCTGGGAGCCTGCCCCCAGCCGCACTGCAGAGGCTTGGAGCAGGCACTCCGTGTGTGTGTGTGTGTGTGTGTGTGTGTGTTTCCACTGGGGGACTGCCCCCAGCTGCACCGCAGAGGCTCGGAGCAGGTGCCCCTCTTTGTTGATCTCTCAGGCTCAGGTGGAGCCAGGCCCCTCCTCCTGAGCTGGTTGTGACCGTGCCAGAGTCTTGACCCCATTTGTGTGTGTGTGTGTGTGTGTGTGTGTGTGTGTGTATATATATATATATATTTATATTTATATTTATTTATATTTATATTTATATTTATATTTATATTTATATTTATATTTTTTATATTTATATTTATATTTATATTTCTCTGAGTTCTGTGAGCCACTCTAGCAAATAAATCGAACCTGAGGTGGAGATTGTGAGAATCTCTTGATTTATAGTTAGTCAGAAGCACAGGTAAACAGCCTGGGCTTGTGACTGGTGTCTCAAGTGGGGGCGGGAGCATTCTTGCAGGACTGAGTCCTAAACCTGTGGAATCTGATGCTATATCTGGGTAGATAGTGTCAGAATTGAGTTGAATTCTCAAACACCTTGTTTGTTGTTGGTTTGTGTGAATACCCTTGCCCCCTTGAAATTGGGTCTCAGAACACTTTTTACCTTTCCTGTATGAAACTATTTACAGGCTAAAGAGTTGGCAGACTCAGCACGGTATGTTTATTGCTTCTAGTTATTCTAGTTAGCTATTGTTGAATCAATGGCTGGTATTGGTTGGTGGTTAATGGAAATGGTGGGAGAGCACAGATTCTAGATATAAGCAGTTCTAATAAAGGGGAATCCTTAGGGTTATCTCTATTGTGACAACTTCCCCATTATGCTCTTTATCAAACAGGTATGGTAGATTGAAAAACTCTCCCAATACTTTGCAATTCCTCCTATCAAGAGGTGGAGTTTGTGTCTCTATCCTTAGAATTTTGGCTGGCCCTGTGACTTGGTTTGACCATAGAGTGCAGTAGAAGTGACCTTGTGCAAGTGTTGAGCCTAGGCCTGAAGAAACATTTCATCTTTAGTTCTTGCTGCTTTGGGAACTCTGCCACCACGTAAAAAGGCTCAAGTTCACTTGCTGGAGGATAAGAGACCTCCTCTATGTAGAGGAGAAGAGAGGCACCTTGTCGACCCAAGAGCTGACTGTGGAAGCTTAAGTGAGCCCCATCTGAGATCAGGGGAGTCTGGCCTAGATAAGTGTAGTTGCCCAGCTAGCTCAGCCCAAATTGCTAACCCTCAGAATTATGAACTAAATAAAAGGTACTAAAGTTTTGGGTTGGTTTGTTATGCAGCATTAGATAATTTGATACAGCTAAATTTGGATGTTCTGGATCACTTAAGGCTCACCTTTTGACCTGTCCTCTAACACCCAAGATTCTCACTAACATGAGCTCGATAACAGAAATTACCTGTGGGTAATTTAAGCAGAAAAGGAATTTGTTGGAAGGATATTGGGTAGCTCAGTTTTTCTCTAGGAAAGCTGGAGAAAAGGCCTGAAAAAATGTACAGCACTACCAGAACTACAGCCATATTATACCTACCACAGAGTTGATCTGGTGAGGAGGCTGGCACTGTATACCTCCTAACTAGTGGGTGCCTCTAGCTACACTACACATTGCTGGCACTAGACATCAGGTGAGGGGTTTGGCAACCCTGCCACTCCAGGAACTAGTATTGCTGCTGTTTCCAGAAAACTATGATCTACTTTTCCTGCTGTTTCACATCACTGGCTATTGATTGAAAATGCCTGTGCAGTGTGTCTGGCCAAGCTTAGGTCCTGTGCCCAATCGCTGGTTGAGAAGAAATCAGGAAAGTGAGTAAGTGACATTTTAGTGTATTTAGCTGAGGGCAGGTGGAAATTTTCATAAACATTGGCAGGGGGTTTTGATGCTGGGTAGCCAAAAGAAAGATGGCAAGTATTCATTAGTTTCTGTTCTGGTCTCTGGTTAGCTCAGTTGGTTACAGCACAGTTATGATGAAGCCAGCTTTGTGGTTTGTTCCTTGGTTCTATTGAGAGAAAACACTTACTTCTGAGGCTGTATCCTTTACACCTGCTCCCTCTCTCACAGATGTGCGCTCATGGCCATTTGGAAGGCCAGGAAATGGTGGCACCTAATTTGCATGTGCTTCTGGCTGCCAAGGTACAGACAGTATGTGTCTTTCAGTTTGTGGGCATAAAGAAACTCCATTTACTTCTATAGTGTGCCACCTAAGGGAACTGAATGAATGGTAGCATAGTGAACATAAGGGATTTCCTATTTGCACAGTGAACTTGGTTCCTGTGACATTTATAAATAAATGGGCAGCAAGGTCTTTCAATTCAGGCAGTTTCTCATTTTCCAGAAATTCTCTAATAACATTTCCAAACTCTGAAGTGCCTATATGCAAAGCCATTCATGTAGGATTAGTTTAAATATTAGAAATAATACATAAAAGAGAAAAACATAATGCCCGGAGAGTGTGTTGTAGGTGTTTGAGAAATGGTGATCCTTTCTCTCAGACTTCCTAGATACACACACTCCAATCAGATTGTCTTATCTCAGGTGCTATAACAAAATACCATAAACAGAGTGGCTTATAAACAACAAATGTATTTCTCACAGTGCTAGAAGCTGCAAGTCCAAGATCAGGGTGCTATGACAGTCAGGTTCTGGTGATGGTCCTATTCTGGTTTGCAGACTGCCAGCTTCTTGTTGTGTCTTCACATGGTAGAGAGCAGAGACAGAAAGCAAGCTCTCTTGTGAATTCATAAGAGTACTAATCCCATTCTTGGGGGCTCCACCCTTATGACCTCTTCTAATCCTAATCACTTCCCAAAGGCCCTATCTCTTAATACTATCACACTGGGGGGAGGTTGGATTTCAAGGTATGAATTTGGGGTGGTGGTGGAAGGACACAAACATTTAGGCCATAATAGATTATAAACCCTTTGAGGGCAGAGGCTGTTTTTTTTTTTTAATCAAATCTCTCTAAGTTGTCAGATCTCTAGGCATGGCTTGCAAGAGTAGAGTCTACTTGGGATAGAGTGTCCTGGGAGAAATCAGGACCTAAGTCTCTGCTCATCCATTGTGAGAGGGCCCCATTGTGAGATGGCTGGATTGTATCAGATTAGGCAATGCAAAGTCTATCCGGGCTGATGGCAGGTGATTCAAGGTAGGAGATAGGAGATCTATCTACCTGGGTCCTAGAGATGTCCCTCTTGGCAAGCACAGCTCAGTGGCAGGAGAAAGTTCTGGGGGTTAGGTATCAAGGAAGTGTCACTGGGTACTTTGGGACAAGGACAGACAGGTGAGAGCAAGGCCAGTCTCAAATGATGGGTATCTGTTAAGCTAGAGAGGGAAGGAGATGGATGTTGGTAGCTGTGAATAGAAAGGGGATTTGGTCATGGAAAGAGGTCAGTCTGGTCAATATAATATGGCTATTAGGTCACAGTAGCACCAGTAGCAGGATGGGCTTGGGGCTGGGTTTCTGCGGGTTGGGCTGAAGCCCCTTAAATCCATCTGCTTTTGCCATGGTGATGCAGGGGGCTGAGTGTGCTAGTTATCATGAGGTCCTGCTGTGGGGAGAATGATCCTGAACAGGTGGGGGGTGGGCTGTGTCCAGCTTCAATGCCCTGCAGTAGCCCACTTTAAGGGGTTCAGTCTCCTCAGAGGGAGGCTGCCACAATGTCATGGAGGCGAGAGGAGCACTTGCTGTAACAATTGAATAGGGTCTTCACTAGGAATTCGACAAAGAAACCCAATTAATGAAGTCAGATTGCATTCCCCATCAAAAACTATTTTTTTCTATGTGTTTAACTATGTCTGGGTTTAGGCTGAAGAGAGAACTCCTATGTGATCTGAGACTGAAGTGCCATTTGTTCTCTCTGAAAGCATTTCAAGGATCTGTGTATAATACACAATGCTCCACTTGCATGAGATGTCCTGGCTTGCGCTGTTCCTCTCACTAAGGCACTAGTTTCTTTTAAAAAGAAATGTGTGTATGATTGGGTGGATGCACGCACCCATGCGTGTGTATAAAATAAAAGATATAAAATATAGAATGGACTGAAATCAACAAACATAAAAATACCAGATAACCCCAACCTATAGTTTTATTTTTCAAAAGCACTAAAAATGTCAACAAACAAATTGCCTGAAAAGTGAATCTTTTGGCTACTGAGATAAATCTGAGTTGCCAGAACCAGTAAAAGCTTTATGTAATAATTCTGGCAGTGCATTTGTGTTTATTTGAGATTTCGCTGCCTCCAGCTGTACAAAACTCTGTGATATGCAGAGCCTTGAAACCTGGGCCAGAATCCTAAAATGAATTTTCTTTTGTAATCTGAGCTATAATTGCATTTTAATTCAATTCTTGTGTTAAGATTAGTTTGTGTGCATTTCCTTCATCTCATCAATTCTTGGCATTTAAGTCAGTGCCTTGCACACAATTGGCCCTCAGTAAATGTTCTTACTGTCGATTCTACTGTTCTTTCTCCCTAAACTGTTCACCTACATCACAATGATGGTGGGAGGATGCTTCCTTTGTTCATGGTGGTTCACCCCCATTGGGCTCTTCCCCACTCTTCACCCTTGAGTTGTTGGATCCCTCTTTTTCCCCAGGTAGGTGCAGCCCCGATGAACTCCTGACCCTCAGATGTGTGCACCCAGCTGGGCAGCTTGAAAAGCTGTGGCATTGGCTTGCCAAATAAGGCCTAGTTTACAAAAATCATAATAAGAAATCATTGTCATCAAATGCCATGACTACCTATAATCCTGCTTTATTCCAGAAGACAGTCTAGGAGTATGACACGAGCTATAGAGTCACTCTGACAAACCTATTATGCTAATCCATTGTGTAAAAAGCAAAGCAGCTAGCCTGAGTGTAGAATTTCTTTGAATTCTTTCAATTTAAGGATGTATTAATTTCATATTCAACTCCTTAACATATTTCTGTGTTTTAATACAAAATGTTCCCCTTCCCACATGCAAAAAAGCTAAGTAAATTCAAAGTTTAGGGAGGATATGTTATATTTCTCTTTGGCTTTCCTTAGAATCAAATGATTATGAGATGACTTACCTGAACTCACCTGAGGTTCTTACTATTCTGGGATTAGGTACCGTCTCTGATCCTTTAGTGCAGGGGTCCTCAAACTACGGCCCGCGGGCCACATGGAAATACAAATATTGTATTTGTTCCCGTTTTGTTTTTTTTTACTTCAAAATAAGATATGTGCAGTGTGCATAGGAATTTGTTCATAGTTTTTTTTAAAAACGATAGTCTGGCCCTCCAACGGTCTGAGGGACAGTGAACTGGCCCCCTGTTTAAAAAGTTTGAGGACCCCTGCTTTAGTGTTTAAAAGTATTCTTTTGAACAGATCGAGATAGTCACATAAGTCACAATTCAAAGGTATGAAACAACATGCATGGGGATTCTCTTAGTTCAGTGAAGAGTTAAAACTCAACAGGCATATATAATTTATTCCCAAAGCCTTCCTAGTGGAAATAAATGGGATGGATGCTGTGGGAAATGCAAGGTTGATTTGAAAAAAATGCAGGATTAACCGGCAAGAGACTTACAGCCTTGTAAGGGGAGGTAGTAGGTATACTGGGAACCATAATACAAAGCAGAAGTGGTAAGCGCCAGAGGGAGAGGTTCAACCATAGTTTTAGCTTTCACCCAACAGAATTCCTTTTTTTTTTTTTTTTAATTTTTTTATTGCTTAAATTATTACAAAGAGTATTACATATGTCTCCTTTTTTTTTCCCGCCCTTGACAATCCCCTGGCTTCCCCTACCCCCCAGTGTCTTATGTCCATTGGTTATGCTTATATGCATGCATACAAGTCCTTTGGTTGATCTCTTACCCCCCCCCAGCCCCCCCACCCTCCCCGGCCTTCCTGCTGTAGTTTAACAGTCTGTTTGAGGCAACTCTGCCTCTGTACAACAGAATTCCTTTTTATAGGATTTTTGGATATAGAAAAAGTCTTGCGTTCTATCTAGTCTGACGGCTTCATTCCAGTATATGAGCGTTGAGACCAAGGGAGTCACCCAGCTAAACAGCACTACCTTTGACAAAGACAACTAGTTTTTATAAAGAAAGCTGCTGCCTTGTTCTGTGATGGCAACTTAGAGAAAAGAGCAATGTGTTTGTGAAGTCTGGGCTTGGTGAGTGAGGACTACTGCAGTTTTGTCCAGCTGGGTGCTTTGTTTTGAAATTGCATGCAGAGCAGGTGGGAGGGGAATGGGTTTGGGGTCCATCTATAATATTTCTTGCTGACACGGGGTTAGCCTTTGTCTCTTTTCACATTTTTTCTAAATTCATTTAAATATAGATAATCCAAAAAAATAGATTATCCATCCATATGATTCCAAATTCAAAAGGTACAAAATGAAATGCAGTAAACTTTTCCCTCCTCCTGTGCCCTGGCCAACCTGTGCCTTTGCCTGGAGGCAGCCGGCAGTCAGGTTTGTTAGCTTCAACTTCCAGGGACAGTGTGTGAATATGTAAGTAACTGCATCTATATGCAGCCCCCTTAAAAAAACCCTGATACTTACCATACCTACTA